CATAGAAATACCTGATCTTTAAAGTCGAGGATAGTGTGAACTTTTTTGTTTGACAATTTTTGCTGTATCTCTAAAAATAAAGTGGTGGGGCGTATTCAAAGGTTGCCATAAAAACACCCTGTATCTTCAAAGCAGCTGAGCTGACTATTCTTGGTCTACAAATGTTATAATATTTTAAGTTTTGTTAGCTTCACATATGGGTGCTAGAGGGATTTTTTCAATATTCCGATAGAAACGGTTAATTTTCTCAAAAAAATTAAATGCATTGGTATTATTTTTTGCATGAGAAAGTAGCTAGATAATGCCCAAATAAGCTCGCGAAAACCGTTACTCGATATCTTGTTCCTAACCCAAAATGTAGGCCAAAGAAAATGTCCCTTAAATTTTTATTTTTTAAACTTATTTTTCTGAAATTCTTTTTTATGCATCAGAATAAAATCGCCCTTTTTAAAAATATTACAAAATATCGCTAAAAGGTAAGTCAGAGATGCTAATAACAAAAGGAATATTTTTTGTTTAAATGCATATTCACTGTGGGGATTAATAGAAGCAGGCCATGGAATACAACAAAACAAATACCTAATCAAAACATAATTAATAATAATCTTCAAGTTGTCAATAGTTTCGCGTTTCTTTGAGCAATTTTTGTTCTTATCAAATGCGTTTTACGAACGATGAAGGTGTTGATATGCTTGCGGTTCATTTTGAATGTCTTCAGAATACCGCAGTAGCAAAAAGAGTTTACGCGACTCGATATCGGCGTCTTTGCGATGTGTGAGTTTTTCCCTGATTAGTAGCGAGCTTACGAGCCAATGGTAGTTTTCGGCCTACGTTTCAACGGCAAAGAATTGGAAGAAGACAAGAAAATATTAACCGCGTTCTGGGATATATTGAAGAAAACCCCAACTCAGGGGCATATCACGAACAACGATTAAACATATTTAGAAGGGCCATAGGTAAGTTCTAATGGCCATCAAAATATAGGGATATCTTTAAATTTAACTTTTTTTAATTTGTAGCCCAAGAATAGCTCTTTTCAACTAGTTCAAGTTAAAATCGGGTCAGCTGTTTCGAAAATACAGGTTGTTTTTCACGAAAACCTTTGAATACTTCCCACTACTGTAGTTTTAGAGATACAGCAAAAATTGTCAAACAAAAAATGTTTGGATTATCCTCGAATTTGAGGACCAGGTATTCATTTGTTAAGTTAATATAGCAGAATTCACTTTTTTAGATTCAAGATTGTAGTAACGCATCCTAGCGGCCGTTTCAGAAACTTTTTCCCTCAAGCATCTACGATGGATAGGTTCGCAGATACAGTACCTTGCATTGTTCACTGGCCGCCCTGACTTCACCAATTAGCGTGGAAATCAAAATGAGACTTGAATAAAATGTTTTACGTGTTAATTTCGCTATCAGCATTTTTTACAGAGCAGGGTATATTCTCTGAGACAAATATTTTTTTAATTATCGGGGTCAAACAGAGCTTTAATACAAGTATATTCAAACCTCATGTATTCCGTCAAAGCAACTCGAAACTCGACAACTCGATCGTCGCTTCCATTCGCTTGTCGTCGCCATACTCAGAAATGTATGGGCAGTGTTGCCAGATATTTCCTTAAAAGAGAAAAGTAGTCAGATTGTAGTCAACTTAACAGACAAAGCAGCCAAATTGTAGCCAATCCTTTGACAGTTGACTACTGACATTTAGGAATACACAACATCGATGATTGATAGGGAGTTATTGAAATACTGCCATGCACTATTAACACCGACCTTACTAATAATGACAAGTAGAGACTGATCTTAAAATTGTTTCAGAATTAGAGTTAATAGGGTGGTTATTGGTGTTGGGTGCATTTCCGTGCACGGATGACAAATTTCTAACCTAAAAATATTGGGATAAAATAAACTTTCATCTTGTTTAAAAGTGTACCAAGACAGATTCAATTCCAATAATCTTATTGATTATATCATAAATATCAGTCTTTTTGGTTTCAATTTTACTGCCAGAGGGTCCATGTTTTTCACAGATTAAACTTAAAATCAGCGAACAGAACAAAATAATAGCGAGAAAACGGCAAAGGAAACTATTTTCCGTATATAATTTCTTTTAACTGCGAGAACTACTATAAAAAGTCCTGTAATTGTGGCAGGCACTAGCTTTATTAATTTCAAGTCTTATGCCTGTTTTGTTGCGCCTGCTCAGATGTCAAATGCGGCCAGGAATTAGAGCCTGGCCTTATTGACATTCAATAACTCCTTAATATGGAAATCACTCTGAGCCTCCTCAAGCTCAAGCTGCAAGCCATGCATGCTTTTATATACGTCACTTTTGAGATGTTTGTATATTTGTGGTGTAGGCTTTAATCCCTTACAACACATCTTATTAAAAGTGAGAGAACCGCAGATTATTGACAAATATATGTGGGGAAATTGATCCACCAACAGAGGCGCGACTCGTCATCTGATCAAACATCGCCCAGTTTCCTTTCTCCTATAGCTATATCGTTATCTTGTACCATACACTGATGAGGGAGGAGGTGCACGAAATGATTACATGTAGACAACCTAAATCCAAGTCATTTCAACTCATTATTAGAAGTAGCCAAACTGATAGCCAGTAGCTAAATTAGTTTTTTGGTAGCCAGTAACTCCATTGAAGGAGCCAAATTGACTATAAGTAGCAATGTCTGGCAACACTGTGTATGGGCCGCTGACTAATACGAGTATACACCTTAGGAAAAACCATTGTTACACATGGGAAATCATTTCTTGGCAACAGCGCATCGGCTCGTCTACTTTCATCGCTATTCGTACATATTTCCTACCGTTAACCGCAGACCTGTATCACGAGTGAGAATAATAGGCAGATACACTGTGTTGCTAATTTGAGTAGAGCTTCCCGAATTATGGGGAATTTAGAGTTAAGTGTTGATTCATTCAAGCTTTTAATCAGCATGGCCTAGACGTTAGAACTTCATAAAGATAACATTGAAGCTGAATGCTGTTTCGAATATTCAAAGCGGAGCGGGATACTATACTCGTTCAATGGGTCATCAAGCCACAGTCTTTTCAACAAAGAAATTATTTTACGAAAATGCGTTATATTTTTACAATTTTGTCGTCACCAAATCTCTGTTTCTCAAAATGTACGTCTATTGTAGAATTTTCAGCAAACTAAGCAAGAAACGTGATCTAGTATTTACTCAACATTACGGATTTCTCGAAATACATTAAAAAATGTGACCTAGATACCTAACTGCCCCAAGCTCTTTAAATATAACACCTTAAACCAGGGTTACCAGGTGCTCAGTCACGTTGATTGTCATGTTGTACTGCGCAAGTCAGCAAACAATCTGGCGTAATAAACGTTAGGAATCATCAGGTATTGCCAGATTCCCGAATACCGGGCACCATAGTAACCGTTATAGTTGTCCTTCAAAGTTGTCAAATCGCCCCTAACAAACCCTGTTTATCACTACTATTTGACAGTCATATGGTAGTTGTAGCCCTATCTAGCGGTCCATGATTTCTCTCAATACTGTTGTATCTCTACTGACAACAAGAATAGGGATTACAAAATAATTTATGCAACAATATACAAACATGAAAAATATGATTTGAACTATGAAACATTAATACAATTTTAATAGTTTGAACTTTTTTCATTTTTGGAATACTCTTATGTGGAATCCGCAGCTATTTTTCCCGAAATTTGGGTAGACTTAGATTTCTTAGAAATATGACATATTGGTATCGGCAACTCTGCGAATGGGAGAAACAAATCGCATTTGTTGAGCGCATCCGTCTAAGCGGTTTATCACTCTTCTACTTTACCCCGTTGTCCGTCACACTCCGACGCTGCCAGATACGATCCTACAATCGAGTGTCTTTCACGCACCTACATACTTTTGTATATTTCCATCTCTCTTCCTCATAATAATGTATAATAATCGTTTTTCCCAAGGTGTATAGCGCTGGCCAAAGTCATTTCCCCTTTTAGATCCCCATGTGTACGAGAGAGAGAGAGAGAAGTGTGTTAGAAAGAATGTGCCATACGAACGTCGTCACTACGTCGCCTGACAACGACAGTGAAGGGCTCGGATAGCGTCAGTAACTTCTCCCCCACTGTCGTAGCCAGGCAACGTAGTGACGACGTTCATAGGGCGCACTCTTTCTAACATGCGTGTACACATGGAAATCTAAAAAGTGACATGACTTTGGCCAGCACTGTGTAGAAGCGCACAGATTTGAACGTCGCGCGCAAGTCTGTGCTTCGACGCCCTAGAAACATCAAGAATTCCATATGCTGAAAAATGGAACCTTACGCCCGAATAACTTATTGGTAAAACACACATTACCGCCTGATCGTAGAGAATAAACATTTAATATTCATTGTCATGATGAAGCCCACTTTCTTGGTATATAAATAATTATTATATATGAATTTATCATATTATTTTTTGGAACATTATATGAGTCGGTAAGATAGTCCACATATCCAAGATACTCTATATAAATTCCAGAAGTCACGTGGTTCTCTAAAATCAGGCAGGCTGAGTTTTGTGTGCTTTAAGTCAAAGGATTGAAATATGCGCCCTCCCCCTATATTAATTGAGAACAAATGACAGTTGCGAATTGAGGATGCTGTTTAGAAGGGGCGGCGCAATGTTGGTCGGTCTCTATTCGCCCATTTAGGAGTCGTGGCCACCTCTGTATCCGTCCTTGACTGAGAATTTTGCACCCTGCATGACACTATAGGCCCTGAGGCCGCTGCCTCACTTGCTTGCCGCCTGGAGCCGGCCCTGTCTATAAATGAATTAGATAGTTTTTACTGAACGCTGCCTCTTATCTAAGAATTTCTGACCGTTGTGAATGGTCTGAAACTGTTAACCAAGTAAGCCTGGAATGTATAGCTAACGATTCATTTGGTTAACTGAAAATGAGGATTGCAAAGCATTGCTAGAACATGCCTATTACGGTTTTTTTTTTTACAGATCTGCGCCTGGCGGATTCAGGTCTCTACACATGTTCGGCAACATCAGAAAGCGGTGAAAGCTCTTGGTCGGCCTCCTTAAACGTTGTAGAGGGCGCTGCAGTACCATACCATCGTAGCCCCGACCCCTCCACCTTCCCTAAGGCTCCGGCTACACCAAGAGTGCTGAACGCAACGGAATCGAGCATATCTCTATCCTGGGACACGGACGAAGATGAAGAAGACGGTTTGGTGGGGTACGTTACGATGCTTTTGCTTCCTGCGCCTACTGGAAAAAAATTTGGAAAATGAGATATTATGTTTTTTGAATATTATAATGTCATGCACATCACGAAAAACCGTGTCACTCATTTCTGTCGGTCTACCTGTCCGCTAATCGGTGACCCGTGTCTATAACGGAAAAACGGAAAAAAACATAAATCGTCCAAACTTAGTTTTTTGGCGTTTCAGTGGATCCTGATAATTTTTGAAATACTATTTAGGGGTGAAATATTGGGAGGTTGTAAGGAAGTGAGGGAGAATGTATCGCAATTTTTTGATGTTAGTATAGTAATACTCTGCCAACCCCGGCAATTCTACTCACCTATTAGACTTATTTCACATCGTCATCACATCATGTATTTCCCCGTGTATTTGCTCTTAAAACTCAGAAAAATATTCTCAGCTGGCGGATCGTGTTACACTTCCAGTACTGCGCGGGGTTTAAGTATTGCATTTTTGGTAGTGAATCTAAAGGACTTATAAAAGCAAGTAGCAGACGGCCCATGACGATGCATACGGCAGCAGCGGTGGCCGCAGTGGTAGACTCTTCGGTCTCCTGATCAGTCGCCGTGCGCTGTGCGGGTTCAAATCCCGTCCCAAGAGAATTTTTTCTCTTGGCTATGGATGTTGTGATTGTCCGTAGGTGGTAAGGCGGTCTCTGACTGTCGAACGCGGAGGTACCACCCGGCGGATCTCGTAGGCGGGGCCACAATGTGTGCATGTTGCATGCACACGTGTTCCCTCGCCAGAGTCCGGGTGGCGTCCCCCCTTTCCCCTGTTTCCCCCTGTAGCACCATGGTACCCCATGGGTGTTTAGGCCTTAGGCCTTCGTGGTAGTTGGAAAAAATAAAAGTGTGCGCGATATTATCTATACAGGGTGTTTCAAATTCGACCCTCAACATTAGCATCTCGGAAGCTGTAAGATATACGAAGTCGCTTAAATGGGGGCTATGTTGCGTATTCAGGTAATAAAATTCCGCTTAGAAAGTTTCAAAATTCACTTCCGGGGAGAGACGGAAAAAACTAAATTTTCCCAAAATCGTTATTTTTCCTGACTTTAATTGTAGTGAGATCTAAAAATCAATTGCACAAATCATAAATGAAAACTCTATTAATATGTGCAAAACTCCAATATGACGTAAATGTGCAATTTAGTTTAAAATCCCACTACAAATATAGACAAAAAAATTAAAACTATTTTGGGAAATTTGGTTTATTTCGTCCCTCTCGTACTTTGAACTTCGAAATTTTGTTCGTTACCTTAATGTGTAACTTTTGCCTTCATTTAAGCGACTTAGAATCTCTTACAGTTTCCGAGATCCCAATGGTGAGTGTCGAATTTGAAACACCCTGTATATTGTCTTTTTCACGAGTATCGATTACCGTAAAATAACAGCTGATTATCTAGTACCTAATATTTAAAAGTTCCCGCTTATCGACGAATGACACATACGAGTACATAGGTAAATCAATCATCATCACCAGGTAGACAGAGCCAAAATTTTTTCTATTTTTTTGTACGCTACAGTTTCATTATTCTCTTTTTCTCTTATTTAGAAAATATAATTTGCATAAAAAACGCTACAAACAAGTTCTAAATTTACACCCGAGTCAGTATTGCCAATGTTACACACTAATACAAAATAGTCACTTACTGATCAGCTGTTCACCTCAGTGGACGTCGAAACGTGGTGGATACTCGTGAAATAGGGTTTACACGAGCATTATGCTTGGAGGCTGCCGTGCACGGACACGCTCATTGCTGAGATTTTTTTTTCATGAAAATCCCAAATAATGAACTGATGGTTCTGTCAAATCCTACGTCTTTTTGATGCCATTGCACCACAGTAGAATATCGTACTGTCTACTCGGCGCCATCTTTTGAATGAATTTTAAACAGTAGGGGATTCTAAGTAGAAAGAATACGAACGTGTTCTGCTTGCTAAAGCAGACTACTGCTTCAAATAAAGAACTTAACTCGGATGTGCGATGCTTACTTCATATTCATATTATTAAATTTATCCAATAATACCTTTGTACTCTAAGAAGAAAAAAGAGATGAAGGAGGAAGTAAGCCAAGAAATTGTTGATGCGAATGAAAAAAGTACAGCAGTAAAGCACTCTATGTCAACGGCCAATTGAGCCATAGAGACACTAACATTACACACGCTGCAGTGCATCACTAAAAATCAGCTTCTACTGTCAAGCTCAAAATTCATATGTATCAACTAATGCAACAAGATTATCTACCAACTACATTAGCTGCCGCCATCATAATTGTAGTAGTAGATAATAAAGTTACAATAAGAGCGTTCTGGGTCTGAATTTTTCGCATGACAAGAACATTTGCGTTTGAACTAAAATGCAATTTTCACGTGAGAAGAGTGCAAAGCTTACCAAATGCTTTTCAAGTAGATATCCTCAACCTCAAGTTTTTATGTTACACTCGCCTAGGAATTTCAAAAAGAGCAAATTTCAACATTACATTGGTTTTTGTAGTCTAATGCTTTACTAATACCACAGATTGTCAAAGCCATCTAGATCGTCGGGATTGACTCTCCATAGATCAACATTTTTTTCGTTTGGAGGTTTGGATTTTATTGACGGGTTTTCCTTATTAAATATTATCTGAATTTTTACAAAAAAAGTTTTGACAGTCTGTATGTTGGAAACGAGGCATTTCCGAAACTAGATAGCACTAAGAATCATGTCTTTTAATCTGGCGAAGTATTTTATTGACATTTGTATATATCATGGAAACAATAAGTATTCTAAATATGATGGACTAAGAATGGCATTTGTATTTTGTTCCAGGTATACAGTAGAATACTGGAGTCCAGACCTGCAGACCGGTTGGGTGATAGCTGCGCACCGAGTCCAAACACCTTACATGGTCGTGCACGAATTGAAACCAGATAGTTCCTACGTGTTCATCGTGAGAGCGGAAAATGCCCATGGATTGTCGCCTGCGAGTCCTATCTCTGCACCTGCCAGGACCATGGCGAACTCAAGGTCACTACCTGGATCAGAATTAGATACTGCACGGGCCATCCTAAGCACTAAGCTCATAGAATTGAAAGATGCTAGACCTCAGTCATCTAGTTCAGTGACACTCGTCTGGACATTTACAGAAAGCGCTTACGTCGAAGGTTTCTATATACGGTTCAGAGAACTATCTGGAGGATCTCATAATTATAATATATTGACTGTGTTAGATGTTGAAGCAAAAAGCTATATTGTAACAAACTTAAAGAAGTTCACAAAGTACGAGTTTTTCATATCACCATTTTATAAATCAGTCGAGGGCCAACCATCAAACTCGAGAATCACTCAGACTCTCGAGGACATTCCTTCTGCTCCTCCAGATGGAGTAACAGCGGGAATCTTTAACGACACATCTGGATGGGTCCGATGGTCTCCACCGCCTCCCCAACATTGCAATGGTATTATCATCGGTTACAGGGTACAAATCAAAGGAAGCATTATGACTTCCATGACATTAAATGCCACCACCACCTCTATAAAAATCAGTAACCTCACTGCAGGAGGATCTTACAGTGCAAGAGTAGCTGCATTGACCTCCGTAGGGCTAGGTCCGTATTCAAATCTGGTGCCTTTGTTGGCAAGTCCTAGAGCTCAAAGTCCTAGGACATTAGGACCTTTTGTTCCTCTTGTACGGCAGACGTGGTTTGTGATTCTTCTGGCAGTACTTGTACTGCTGTTACTTGCAGGAACTGGTGGTTTGCTATACTTGAAGAGGAGGCAGTCTATGAGTAAACAACTAGGCCACTTAAATGTTCCTGTGGTGAATGCTTCCGAGCTGAACGCAAAGGAAAGCTTATGGATTGACAGGGGGTGGAAAGCAACTGACTGTGATAAGGACTCCTCCATCCCTCTAGCTCAACCAGCTGATTACGCTGAAGTTGATACTAAGAGCCTGTCGACGTTTTACAACTGTAAAAAGCAATTGGAGAGTCCTACACCATACGCCACCACAATGCTTCTACCCCCTCCGAATTGGGCGGAGATTATTCCACCTCCCCCAGACCATCCTCCTCCAGACTGTCCCAGAGAAAACCCTCCAGTACCACCACCAAGAGGTGGCGGAGGCAGTACCTGTGGTAGTAATGGAGGATACGCTTGCTACGCCGTGCACCAATGCGGCAAACCAGTGCACCAGCAATATACTCCTAGAGCTCGCTCTTGCAACAACTGCGACGCACACTGTTCACTAGCGAGTGGTAGCTCGGGGCACAGGTCGACAGGCAACAAAGGTCATATACCACACAACTGTGATAACAAAGTGTGGTTCAACCACACACACAACTGGGAGGACGGGGATGGAGACTGTGAGACTGACAGACATTCTTGTTCCAGTAGTCACGACACCACTTGTTCTTGCAGTGAGTCCAGCTGTTTGTACGCTGAAGCTGGGCCCTCCAATAATCCCAGGCCGGTCCCTCACTGTCAAAGGATGAAGCAGATTAAGTGAAGGTTCTAATCGGGGCTTGAGCGAATCGCTTGCAATCTTAACGCTTTATTCGATCTCAGCAAGGTTGCGAGCGATTGACTCAGCTTCAGCTCTCCAGGTGTCCTATTAATTCGTTTTGAAACACATATCGATTCGTAGACTATATCAAGTACCGTTCGGATTATGGTGCTTGCATATCAGAAGGCCTAAGCCTCGAAATCGGATATTCGAGAAGTCCTAGTCTTAGATTTTAGTTACCAGGAAAACGCTTTTTGGTTTTTCTGTTGCTGGAAAGCATTGCATTTGTTCTCGAATTTTATATGAACTTGGAACAAAATATAGTTTCAAGTATGACGAAACTTTATGGAATATGACAGAAGTATTATGCATTTATTGAAATCTTTAATATTCTTTTATCAATGCATTAAAAATGCAATTATTCTCGTTTCCCTACTTTATCATGAAATTTCAACATTGTGGATTTAAATCACAAATGTACTAAAGTCAGCAGAATTCAACCCTAATGATTCAAAAACAAAAACAGCCTTCTAAAAAGTTCCGTCATAATAATCTTTGGTTCCTTGAAATGATTTCGGTTCAATAAAAAGGGAATGTCATTTTTTGTATTTCCTTCTGTTACATTCAGTTCCAATATATGTTTTTTCATTGTTAACTGTAGATATGCGTAGTGTGTATTTAGCTAAAATGGTAAAATGAAAACAAATGGTCGCTTGAAATGCGAACCGTAAACGTTTGTCATTCTTAGACGAGAAATATTAGGAATAATTTTGCAATCACCTTGGACAAACTTCAAAAAATGTGGCACTTCTTGTTCATCTACAATAACACCGATTTGACATAAAACTCTCACAAGCTTTTTCTGGGAAATGAAAATACTAAGGCTCGGTTTTTCAATCCCAGGTTAACTACAACTTGACTATTGACCAGAAGTTAACTCTCAAAGAGCTTTTAAATAACAAGTTTGTTGCAAAGCAGTAATTTACAACAAAAGGATCATATATGGGATAACTATAAAGCTGTGGTCATACCGCAATGTCTAACCTTAGGTGCTTAACAGTGACATAAGTTGTCATGGATGACACGAGGCAAATACAGAACATCACAAAACGCATAGAATACAATTCAGGCATAAAAGCAGCGATGTCGCATCAACAGTGTATGGATTGTTAACCAAAACTTCACACAAATTCACAGGCAACTGATAGTTATCTTCCATGTTACCTCACTTGAAAGTTAACCTGTGATTGAAAAACTGGGCCTAACTGTCGGTGATGCAAGTATCGAAATTCCTACTATTTCTGGTCGACTTCATCTTGAAGAAACCCTGCAACTGAACAATCACCGATACGTAAAACTTTATTTTTTCTAGCAAAGACACAGTTTTGAGCGAAGGAAGATATGTACAAAAACATAGGCCTGATACAACTGGCAAAAATATGTATTAGCTGAGTAGTTATCTTACGTAGGAAAAATACATGAATGTAGGCTTCATTACAATAACTATGGTTATAAAGACATTTTTGAGCGGCTGATGTAACTGAATCTTCAGTTCAATAGCTTCAACTTGTTATCTCTGTATATTGAAATAAAATGGAAACGCAAAGTAAAAAAATTGGCTTGTTTCGATTTACTTATAACTGCTTTAGAGGGGTCCCATTCCCCTATAAACTTAAAAGTCCAAATCTAATCCTTATTAGATCAGAATGACAGCCTACCTTCACGTTTAACATCTTGTCTACATATATGTATATAAGTACCCAAAAATACAACGCCTCAAGACTTTTTGTTTTTTGTTCTTGGCATATAAAACTTGACTGACGTAAAACCAAGATTATTTCGTTTATCACTATTTCTCGTAATAACAATATGATATTCTAACTCACAGACCACTACGTAAATTATGATGGAATGTAATACATAACTAAAATCTTGCTTTTATAATTCTCTTGGATTTGCCAAACCACAAGTTATCTCTTCCAACATGCCTATTTCTACTTGGTTAGCGTTTTCATAGATAATGATGATGACATTGATCACGTAGCTCAGAATTCATAAAAACTGATTAATTTCGTGCAAAAATCGGAGTATTCTCAGTGTGTCAGAAAGCATGATTGTAATCTGTATACCATAGTATGTATATCAACAACTTGCATATTAAAGCTTCAGGCAGAAGCTATGCCAAAATAATGAGAATACATTGTATTTTGCAAAACTTTAATTTTATATTTGCGTCACCCTACATTCTGTAAATAAATAAACTAGAAGATGTAGTACACTGTAAAATATTTATTAAAATAATGATGTTCATGTAAAGATATCTTGTTGAATGTCCTGTAAATGATGACCTTTGTTGCTTGAAGCTTTAAGTTGTTTCTTTACTTAGTGTATCCCCTGCCGGTGCCATAACAGTCACAGAGTCAAACACGATGTTCCAAAATATAATGTTTTGATCCATATTGCTTGCCATATTCAATAATATGCAGCTAGTAGTTTTCATATTCCTGAACGACATAAGTTCATAATTCACCTTTCATTGCGTATTTCTTAGAGATAGATCAAGAGCGCATAGTTGATGTTATCAAAATCATATTTATTTTCTTATATTAAATGTGTTCTAAAAGAGCTTGCTGGATGTTACTTACTAGCAGCAGTATAAATATCCTAAAGGAATTCAGATTTTGCGAAAACTTCCACTGTTCTAGATAAAGTTAGTCCTTCAAGTTCAGTACCTCTAACTGAAGGCTTAACTATGAGTTAGAGCTTAGAGCCCATTTATACCCGCGATTTATAACGCATGTCTTTTCTTATCATGCGACACGAAATAGATGCGACTGTCAATTTGACCTCGTGTTGGTGGTGCTGCTAATACTGAATAGAAATCGCGCTATCAGAAAATTCATACGACTGCTATTTTAAAACGTGCAATATTTCGCGTACCGCGCGACACAAAAATCGTGCATAAATGGGTTAACTAACCCGTAATTGATGACGCAGCAACGCTGCGTCGATGTCCTCTGACATTTGCATTTTGATGCTCGACCTTAGAAGAAAAACAGGTTTTATCTTTCGGTTTCAATAAAACCTTGTAGTTAACATATCAATGATTCTCTGTTTAAACTTGTTGCAGTTTTAGAACAAACTTGAGATGGAAAACGCTTTTTGTTAACTTCCAATTGACAAAAAGATAAACCAAGATATCTAACCTAATGTAATGAATGACGCGAGTCACAAACTCTGAGCTTCCCTAGATGCACAGAACACAATAATTCTGCTACTTCAAACCGTCAAAGTAGCGTTGCTACATCACCAACTACAGGTTAGTTAACCAATGCTTGATAAACAAATCTACTGGTAACATAGCTAACTGCCAGTTAGTTACCGAACTTGAAAGTTAACCTGAAATTCAAAATCCGGGCCCTGCGACAGAAATTGCATTTCCACTAAACTTCATTCAGGAGATTTTTGACTTCAAAACTTTTAACATAATTATAATTGGCCAAAAGTAAAATGTATTGGAACTGTCTAGCTCAGAAGTGTGAAAATGCCTCTCGATTATTAAATTTGTAATCAATATGTACGAAATTTCGAATAAACTTTACTATTGACTGTGATCAAGAAACGTTCAGTTTTTCCTAATTTTTATATCAAAAATGGATGAAAAGTGATAACATTATATTTCTGAGACATTTGAGTCAATCAGGTGTAGAGATTATGAAAAAAATGCAAACTGGACGACAATAACGCACATCTTGCTTAGAATAATAACAAGGGTCTAACTACGACTATTAGACTGAAATGACTGAAATCCTATTCCCTTAGCAATACCCTTAAGTTCTTTTATAGGAAGTGATTTTGAAAAGCATTTGAGTTTTGATTTTTTGTAAATAGACTTGTAAACATTGTAAATATTTTGTTATACCCATATACGGATAAGGTTTTGTAGAAAGTGTATTATGTAAAAATTGATGTAGATATTTATTATTTCTGCCCTGTTATTTATACATTTCAATAAACGTACTTATGCAACATTTGTCTTTTATTAAAATAATTCGCTTTAATGTCATATAGGAACAGCTGACGGCTTTAGGTTTGGTCAAGTCATGTTGGTCTTAAATTAAGTTGGGTTAAGTGATTTTATAAATGCGACATAAAGCTATTACCTGAAATTATTCCTGTATAAAACATACAACATTGCTTGTTCCGAGATAACTCATTTGTTTTTTGAGAAATAAACAAGAAATTTGGGCATATGGAAGATGAGAGCTTGATGAAGACAATTCCTTTTTAATGAAAAAAAAAAAACGTTTACCTCGATTAAAGCCTATTCTGTTGTATTCTTAAATTTCTTTAAGGGTTCAATGGAAAGAAATACCTTGCAAAGGAGGAAAATGCGCATAAAACTGGTCACAACCTAAACATATGTCAGCATAAAAATATATTGCTGGAGAAAAACACATTTAAGAAGCAACATTGAGCAGAAGAGCTTTTAAATGTTTTCTAAAACTATATAGAGGCAGGCTTTTTGTTCAATAAATAATCTAAGCTACTGCATGCATTACATGAGAAGGACCTGCTAAAAAGAGATGAACTATGAAGGGGCATTGTTAAAGAGGATGTGTTACGGATAGGTCATTGATGAACATCATACCTAAGAATTAGTTTTTCACGTAAATAAATTGGAGTTCCAGAAACAAGTAACTTACGTATAAAGGTCAGATAGTCTGTTACGACTTGCAACATCTAAACAAGGTTAATAAACTAGATTGCAATAATTTAAAATTTGTTAACACAAAAGATTCACGCACCTGCTTTCGGATTTTAAAAGTCAGCAAATTTTTGTTCGCATACAGGGTTCTTAGACGGATATTTTAAGTTCTTTTTAAGAGGTTATTTAAATGTTCACGAAGCCGCACCTTTTCATCAATTCACACACCTAGGCACTTGACACTTTCAGAAAAAGAAAGATTATGATTATTAATACATATACAAAGAAGCTTTGACTTCAGTTCTTGTATCGTTTGGACAAAACAGCACAGCAGAAGATTTCGGAGCATTAATGATTAATTATTGGCTGAGTAGCTGCAAATAGGGTCAATGTCCTCATTAATTTCCATAGAAGTAGTGTGGAGGTTCTCAGGATAAAAGAAGTGAAGCAGTTGAGTGTCTTCCGCATATGACTGTAGCTGTGAAGTTTGAAAGCAATATCGGCTACATAAATTAAAAATAACAAAGGTCCTAAAATTGAGCACTGAGGCCAGCGGCGGCTCGTGGTCTATGATACAGGGGGTTCACAAGTGGTATAAAATAATTTTTTTTTGCCACCACCCAAATTTTTATGTAATGCGTGACGTAGAAGGCAATAAGAATACTAAAACAAGCATCAAGGACACATTTTCTGTTATTTTTTTTTATTATACACAAGAAAATACATTTATAAAAACTACATTTTTTTTAATGAGTACAGTGTTTAAACGTAAAGTCCATTCTCCTGATTTTATTTGCAGAAAATTCATCAATAACTAACTCGTTAAAGTTTGGGATACCCGCTATACATTTTTTCTCGATAGATAGCATTGCTAGCGCTGGCAGTCTTTCTTCATTCATAGAACTTCGCAAAAATGTTTTTATTCTCTTCAATGTCGAAAAGCATCTTTCACTTTCGGCCGTAGTCATTGGTATGGTAACATTTATTTGTAAAAGTGTGAAGGTGGCAGAAAATATGCTCTGAAGATTATTTTCTATAAAGAACTGTAACAAGCTAATGGCACCAGTCATATTCCTGAAATCAGGTCGCCGGTAAATTAATTCCAATTCAGTCTGGAGACGAACTTTATCTAAAAACGAATATGCTTCTATACAGTTTCCAAATATTGCAATGGAAAATGCTTTTCAAATTGTGGAAATTTATCAGAAGAAAGAAGAATAGCTGCATTTAAATGTTTTGTAAAAGAAAATCTATCTGTTACATGTGTAATTATGGTATCCCAAACTTCCTTGGCTGCAACAGCTCTGCAAATATGCTGGTCTTCATTTGCACGACGCTTTTTAGTTTGATTAGTAGTGGTATCTTCAGAAATTTCAGTTTCAATTGTTTCCAAGCAGTCTCTTCTTTTTGGATGCAGTTTTCAACACACTTTATGGCAGTCTGAATTTGCACTGGGTCAGTCACTGTTTTTTGTAACTGATTATATAAAATATCAGCATGTGGCAATATTCGATGAAATACAGTTAGCCAGAACACAAACTTAGAATCTTGTAGCATACGGCCAATACCAGTGGCTTGATTGACGGTAACAGTTTGTTTTGAAGTAGCTTCTATTTTTTCCATGCATTCTATTAACAATTCGCGATATTCATATACTGTATTTATAGATCTGCTTTTAAAAGTTCAACTTGTAACAGAAGACCTAGGAACTCTTGCACCAACAATGTCATCCAAAACTGCAACTCGTTGTGGAGAATGAGAAAAAAAGTTGAAATATCGCTTAAATTTGAAAAAAATACCCGTACTTCTTGATTTTGGCTTGTAGCTTGAAATAAAATCAAATTTAGCTGGTAGGCATAACAATGAACGAAATAAGCATAAATATAATCACGTTGAATAAGAGCTTGAACACCTCCACGACGTCCACTCATTACACTAGCGCCGTCATAACTTTGAGCTATCAGTTTCTCTGGTTTATCTAGCACTTGTATTAAATTAGTTTTCACACATTCTGAGAGACTAACTGAATCGTGGTCAGGGGGGGGTAACAAAATTCCAAAAACGTTCAACTGGTCTTCCATCTGGTAGAATGTACCTAAATACTGTAGTCATTTGATAACAATTAGCTACATCCGTTGTTTCGTCAGCCATAACAGCAACAAATTCAGCTTCCAAAATTTCTTTTCTTATATTTTCCTGAGACACTTGTAACATGCAATCTAACAATTCGTTTTGAATGATTTTTGATACCCCTTTGAATACTGTCGATTTTTCAAAATGATCTTTAAGTGCTATATCTAATTCGGCAGTGAAATTCATTAAACCTCTAAAAATACCAGGATTTGATGAACCATCTTTTTCGTCGTGACCGCGGAGGGCTAATTCAAAAGCTCCGCAAAATGTTATGCAATCAATAATTTTTGAAAGCACATACCTATTCTTTCTAACTTGTTCATTTTGCTGTTGAATACTGCGCCTGTATGCACTGTCCAACTGCTGCCGTATATCTACTTTTCCCAAAAGCTGCATTTCCAGTTGCGCATTGATATGGACTTGAGTGTTTTCATGTTTCTTAATTTTTTGTGCTAAATGTCCCAAGTCGACTATTCCATTTTTTGTCCAGGCAGGCTCTGCAACCCCGTGACCAAACAACAAACAGGAAAAACAAAACAAACGGTTTGTTGTGCTGCATCCACAAATCCAGTTATTCTTTTCATATATTTCCATTTTAAACTTTCTAATAAAGTCTCTAGATTTACCCTTTGTGGTCTGAGTTAAGTTAATTTCTGGTGTAGGTCTTCTCGCATTTTTTATTTCAATTTTTTGCTCCAAACTCAATGAACTGAAGTTATGTTTCAAATATTCCACAGTGAAACCATTCATTTAAACTCAATATTTTATTAAAACACGCTACGAACATAAAAATTCGAACACACCTCCGATTACTGCATAAAATGCACGCGCAACGGACAATGGCGCACTCCAGAAGTGTGCGCCTTCTCCAACTAAAATTGCCATAACCCCGCTATACCCCGCAACCAGAACAGCAGGGTGAGAAACACACTAATCCCGCGTACATGATCGCATATGCGACTATTCGTCGTCATCCGCCGTCACCCGTCGGCGGCAGTCGGACCGGGCCAGACCGAATCACAAGTCGGAATCGCCCGAATCAGGCAGCGCAGCGGCAAGAGTGGTGACTCACCAGTGGAGAGCTACTAGATCTTTGATTTTATACGATTAAATATCAGGGAGGCTCAGACTTTATTTGAGAAATTATTAAATGGATGTTATACATATTTATTTTTATTTATTTTGGGGGTGCACGTGCTCATGTGCTCCTACAGTGGAACCGCCACTGACTGAGGCACACCAGAAGTAATAAAGTGCTCATTTGACAAAACTCCAGAAACTGAGACGAGCTGAGACCGGCAGGTTAGGTATGATTCGAAAAACTGCAGTGCTATTTTATCAAAACCATAAAATTTTAGCTTGGAATGCGTGATCAATTCTATCGAAGGCCTTGGAGAAATCCAGTGATACTAGGCGAGACACGTTTTCTTATCAAGGGCCCTGATGATGTTGTCCAGTGAATTAAGAAGAGCAGTTGTAGTACTGTATGATTTTCTAAACCCAGATTGATGTTATTATCATAAAAATTAAATGTTGCTTCGTCGGACTGAGCAGAATGAAACACGGATGCAAATCATCGTTTATAGCATTTGGGTCATTGAGGTAAGACGGAATACTTTCAGTTCTTGTCTTTAAATTAAAGCCACCGATATTTATGTTATATAAATCCCTCTAAGGGGGCAAAATTACGTTTTTCTTTGTAGCTTAACCAGCTCGATACTGTCTTATCGGATTTACATTTTAAAAGTGCAGCATCACGTTCTTTCAGAATAACTTTTAACGGAAAGGTCAACCAAAGAGCCTGACGTTTATTGGATATCAAAAACGTTACGAATGTTCCTTGTAAGGAAATCAACTTTTTCATTGATGTCATTCAATAAATTGAGCTTAAATCAGCACAAAATCCGTTTTCATCAAAGTTTTTAAAACCTCTAATAGTGATGAAAGTTTGCTCGGTTTTTTGACAGCAATTTCCAGCGAGCAACATACACGTCGATGGTCGAGTTATGTTGCTGTCATTTAACAATTTATTAATTGATATAATAATTGCATTGTATTCCTTTTTACTAGCTCATCACTTTTGGTTTATATTAACGATTTTATCTTAATTATGAATCAGTCATTCAATCTCAGTCACAGCGAACACAAACTGTAAATTCTGTCCGGTCCATGTACACTATACACATAATTGTCGGAAATTTCCCCAGCATCCAAAACCATTGTGCCCGTAAAAAGTTCTTTAGTATTTAAAAAAACTGCATCAATCTGAGTAGCTGAAGTTTCCGTAATACGAGTGGGTTCTTTAACCATTTGACAAAAACCATAACAGGAAAAGCATTTATTGAGACTATTGTCGGCTAATATTAAAACGTTATCATAGTGACAGATACAAAAAGGTAGGACGGAGTCACATACAATGCAAAATTTTTCTTTATGAAGAATAACCTGTAGGCAGATACTTTCCATAACTGTGCTCGTATCAATACAAAAGTCAAGAAGTCTCACCTGATATATAGATTTCATATAAATGCCAATGTCACCTACTCGTCCTATATCACTGCGATAAAAATTATACTCTGGAACTTTAACAACTCCAGTAGGTATATTGCTAGTCAGCCATGTTTCGGTCACCACGAAAAACTCTTACTCTTGTTCAGTTAATATATCCACAAAATCAGAAAAACTAGACAGGATAGAACGAACGTTAAGGTGACCAAATTTCACTGTTTTTAGATTCCCATCCATACTTGATACTTGAATTGTTGAAGTTTGACTGGAAAAAACTGGAGAGACTTGTTGCAGAATGTTCAATCGAGAATGAAGATTTTTTAACATTGGAACACATTACATTTTCGACTGCCTCTGATTTACCAATTCTTAAAGGTGATATACCAATGATGTTAGGATCATGCTCATAAATAAGATGCACAATGTCAGTGACACTAGAAAATTGCGATCTAACGGTTAATTGTGCTAATTTAAAGTTATGTTGGAGTATATTTAGAGTCGTAGTTGATTTTATATTTAAGAGTATTAATGTGATTTTGAAGAAAGGAGCATGAATTCACATCATTGGCAGAGTGGTTTATTTCAAATTTAGTTCTGACTTTCTCATTATGCTTGGAGCAGTTTATGCATTTCAAACTATCATTTGTACATTCTTTTAGACGGTGATTACCACTAGTTTGGACAAGCAACATCAGTTACAGTTTTTCTCAATATGGCATGTCATGTGATCTGTCATGTTTACGTTATCGGATGGCTGACAATACGCTGTTGCATGAAGTGTCCACAATAGAATAATGTAACGTATGCGTTTCCTTCAGTGAATAGAGTTTGCGTTTACGTCACTTTTAGGAGAGGTCGGATTATAAGGTGCATCCGGGCAAACACCATCCCGGAGTAATAACTAAAGACTTACATTACAAAAAGCGTATATTAATTAAATAAAAAATACATAAACACAATCATCTTGTCAAATATAGCTTTGGTACTTAATTAAAATTGTCACATTTAAATACTTACATATATATCTATAAATATACGCATATGTAAAAAGTTATGCTTTGACATAACCATATAACACTAAGAGATTTCTAATGATGTTATACAACTTTTTCCATGTTCTTCATAAAAATTTAGAATGTAGCCCTACAAAACAGATATACATTTTAATACGTTATCATCAGAATCAAATATATGCCCACTTCCACAAATATCTAGCAGGATGCAAGTCAAGGTGCAGAAAATTGTTGGCTGCTAGCAAGCTATGAAAAATGTGCTGCACTAGACACCAATAGCTTTGAAAAATGGAAATGTTAATGAGTCATAATCTCTGATTAAATAATCATTAATGCCTTGAAATCAGCTATGAGGCTGAGAGTATAAGTCACAACATAGGAAACAATCAGCAAAATATTTCGAGTTGGTGGGAACCGTCTATGCATGTGGTCGCGCATGCTGTGATTCTGGATTACAATCCATCAAAAACGACAAAGAGGTAGTGACGCCATCGGCCGTCGCCTTGTTTCTAATACAAATGCCATAATCGTAGTTAAATTACTAAAATAGTGCCTTTGTAACAAAGTAGCATGGTTTTCTCCTGTGGACAGGGTAATTTAATCCGAAAACCCATCTCTTAATGTAACATGTAACTCCATGATTATCTGGCCACTCAATGAAACCACATGTGTTTATTGCTTTTTCACTAATTTCACTAAAATTTGTGATTTATGATAAATAAAATCATATTATTAGTACAATTCGGCTTCACTGACAAACTACATGATACGTTTCAAGAGTTAGTTTAAAAATATATATTATGGAACCTTATTCAGCAGACTAGTTATTCTAACCCTGACTTGTAATCCATAATTGCGCCGCCAAGGTCAAATTTCGTAAGAAGTAATTTTATATGGGAATGTCTGAGAGATAGGCTGCTTATTCTTTCCTATGTTGTAAGTAGTTCAGATAACGACTGCAATGGCGACGAATTAGATATTAACTTTATTCTATGGTGCATTCGAGTATAATATAAATATATAAGTATAAAATTCTATTAAAATGATTAGAGTGTCAATCTAGAAGGCAAGGGATGTGGGAGTTCAAGCCCCAACAGTGATGCCAGATAGCTCAGGATCATTTTCAAAGTTCAACTTCCTCATCATACCATAATTGAGTATAACCGATATATACTTGTTTTTATTTGTTAATATATTGGATAGTTTGGAACTATGTTCAGAATACCAAATTGCTGTTATTCAAAGATTGATCCTATAACTCCTAACCACGAGCTGCGATTTTGTTGGATATATTCTGATACATGATTTTGAATCCGCCACCTCAAAAATGGAAACGTTAGTTAAGCGACTTTACGTACTAAGCGCCCCAGTCAACTATATGTACAAAATTTAAATAACGAGAAAGGAAAAAAGTAAAAGAACAATATATTAATCAAAATTCAATTATAAAGATATAAAAAAGACATTGTTAGTTTTGGTGATACGTAAGAAATGGCACTTTGCATCCATCCTCTATTTGTAAATTTACAAGAAGTCAATAATGTCAGGCGAGTTTGTTAGTGTCCGTGATTCATTTTTAGCAACCTTGGAATAAAAACGTATTGCAAATTGATTAATCAAGGATCAATTAATCGATTGATGAAGACCCAAATCCTAATGAAACAGCATTTGCCACATGTCACCTCAAAACGCTGCATCACTTTATTGCCAATCAAAACATTATTTTTTGAATAAAAACAAGTGGCTCCATTGCCTAACATAACATGCCTTCCATAAACTAAATTTTAATAGATGCAAGAAACATACATGGTAAATTGAGTCCATCAGTTCCACAACAGATGATATCAGCAAACAGCAAACAAAAACTAAAGAGGCACTTCAACAAAATATATATATATATATATATATTCACTTCATGACTCTGTAGTCAGAAAATAGAATTATCAATAACCCACGATTCCTTAACTTAAGTTATGTTCTATGTATTCCATTTTATCTAGAACTTCGTCAGTTATACGCATTTTTCTAATTACTTAATCAGAGATTTTTAGTCCAGTGGTAAAAATAAAAAAATATTAAGCACATACACGCAGTGTTAATATACAAAGAGCATACATTACTTTTTCTTACTTTTTCCCAAAGTCAATGTGTGATGACTCTGACCCATCTGTTGATACTGTGCTTTACGTCTATTGAATTCAACAATTTCATCTTCTAATTTTTTGCGAGCTTCTTCAATCTTTTTTCTTTCTTCCGTATGGTCCTTTTTCAACTTCTCAAATTTGGCGTGTAACTGAAATAAATCCGTATATTGTAGAGTGAGATATTGGATCAACATGAAGCACCAAATACTGACAGAAAAAAAATGTCTATTATAATTCTAAATATCCTTACCTCTTTTTCAGCTTCTTTTAATTCTGCCTCCTTCTCTTTCACCCTCACAACAAACATCTGTCTCATTTCATCTTCTTTCTGTTGTAATTCTTGAAGGTGATTAGACCTCTTTGTCTCAAATGTTTGTTGAAAGCTGACAGGTTTATTGTCAGCATCCACATCACTGAATCCCATTTGTTCCAACCTAAAAACAATAAACACAGTGATACAGATAAGATTAATTTTTCCAAATATACAACATAATATAGGAATTTACACCTTAGTAAAAAGTTAACAACTTTCTGATGAAATGATAACGTTTTGATTGATCAAAAATTGCAAATGTCTTGTTGAGGCTATGAACTTCATCAGAGGACATTTCTGAGTCACTGTCCTGTCTGAAAGTAATACTTACCGTTTTTTCCTGTAAAGTTCATAATGCTTACAATGAGTCTTTTCCCGCATATCCTCCATGTTTGTGCGAATCAGCATTTCTCTCAATTTTACAAAATCGCAATGCGATTCATTTTCCACCTGAAATGTATAAATCCCTTAGAATAAACTGATTGAAAACAATAGCTAAAAAACTGTCTCTTCACAACAGGCTGTGTATTTTTCCAGGTAAAGTATTTTTGTAAAAGGTTAAATCTGGTCTATACTAACTTTGAACAAGGAGTCCATTGAGGAACTTGTATTTAACCTATATCACCTTCAATATTATTTCAAGATCAACTTTTGTTCTTTAAATAAAAATCCCCGCTTTTGACATGAACAATCGAAAGAGCGGTAATTTTTACATCCGAATATGTATTAAACTTAAAGATCAAGGTCACCTCTACAGGTCGAATTTCGGTCAAATGTTTGGTGCTAGGGAAAATCACTAGGAGTTTAGCGGGATATATTGATGACAGGGATCATTAATGACAGGTCTTTAGTAGCTTTTACCAAAGAATTCAATGGTGAACGTGCGTTCAGTCTCCAACGTTTAAAGTTATTTCATGGCCAACTTTTTTGCAACTGGGAACTCCCGACTGACACGAGCAAATAGAAAATTGTACGATCTAATACTATTGACCTTGAAGATGGGGATTAAGGTCAAATCAAGGTCAATAATGAAATCCTTGTTACAAGTTATGAAGGGTTTGACCTTGTTTTTTGTTTCAAACTTCGAGGAGCTCTCCCTAGACTCATTCGCCCTTGAGAGGTGACCTTGAATTTAGACTTTGTGCATTCGGACGTAAAATTACCCGTTCTTTCAATAGCAATAGCCGGTGTCAAATGGGAGCTTTAAATTAAAAAAAAAAGTTGTCCCTATTTAACTCCTTATTCAAAGTTAATAAAGATACACCCAGGACCTTTTTCAAAGATACGTTACCTGGGTAAATTCAGAGCAGTTCCGTTATTTTTATTTCACCGGGTATGGAATGTACAAGTTTGCTTTCCGTCACCTGTAACCACGACCATCTGCAGACAGCGCTGTTTCGTGGTTATTAGTAACTCTTAGTGCAGTATAGGTCTTAGGTCTAGTTTTGGAGATGGGCGAAACGGGAAGCAAACAAGTGGGTATGGTCTTTTTAAAAACTCAAACCATTGTGCCATTTCAGCCGCGTCTATTTATCCACATATGACTGATCTAGATAATGTGTACTGTAGGGATGCACCAAGTACTCGGTTTGTACCCGGTACTCGGCTTACTCGGCCAATTTTACCGAGTAGTCGGTTTCGCCGTGTATTACATTACTCGGCCTAGTAATTACTCGGTCTGAACGAAATACACACAACAGAATTGCATCTACGATGTGTAAAACCTGAGCTCATACACTTTTCCCAAAGCTTCCTGATATGTCTCCCAAGACGATGCACCATCAAACAAATAGTCAAGGTTACAGGGTATTTTTGCCGAATCAGTTATAGTCCATCCAATTCTAATTGAAAATAACAAATCTACCAGGATCGCGTAAAGAATTCTAAAATCACATGTAAATACATTGTACCATAGAGCTCACCAAATTTCATCCAGTATACCACTGGTATATTTGCTACAGTAGCTCAAATGCAGCGCTGATCGGGACAGCTGAGAATATCGAAGAAATAAAAAGATTATTTTGAAGAGCAACTATCTCGACTGGTGTTTCAGTAGTCCGGGCCATTAGACGCGTCCGAACCAGCTAGTGTTTTGCTTGAATGATTTATGACTCCAGCGCAGTAGTAAAATACTGGGATAGTGCGTCGCGTTAGTTTATGATTCCGATAACTTTGTTGAAAATTTGTGGATTATTTTTGCCCTCATTTATTTTGTATTATATCTCCGCTATACATGCTGGAATTTGTTCAAAATCCGATGTTTTACATTTGTTTTCATGGGTAACAATATGCATCCAACCATCTAATTCTAATTACAAGCAACGAAACTACTAGAATTGCTCAAAACACTGAAATTTACGATTATAGCTATGTATGTATGTACTTTAATACAACCATACCTGTACAGTCCCCCAGGGATACTGCCTTGCTCTCACTGTTTTATTTCCAACCCTCACAAAATCTGTGCTGCCAACGACAGCAAATGGAATGTGGGCATTCATAGATGCATTAACTTCAGACACAGATTCATCATCTACAGGAAACTGATATACCGAAACACCATTGTTTTGTAGCTCTGCTACAATCTTGGACTTGAATTTCTGCAGTTCAGTCTTGGAGATTGTGTCTGCTTTTGCAATGATGGGAATGATGTTGACCTAAATAAAAAAGATGTTAAAATAATTTGGAATGTGCCTAGTCAAACTTCATTGGTATAATGTTAAAGACAAACTCATGTTATCAATACAATATTTAAAATAATCTAGACCTCAAATGCTTCACACATCCATAAAAATAACTAAATTTTCATGCCAAATAAATTAATGTGGAACAAAATTGCTATAGTGCTTTATATTGGTGCCTATTTAAATACCATTAAACAATAATCATGTCCTTTTTTGTCCATAAAATGCAGTTTTGTGATATTTACATCTAACCATTTAATAAATGCAATTAAAAGAAAATAAGAGGGGGAATAACAATAATAGCTTTATAAATTACCAATAATCAACCAACCTTTATTTGAACTAATTGGCGTGAGATCATACTTGATTCTCTCACACTACAGTGTATCAAAATCAAATGTGACAACTGCTTTTCATTAAAATTTGCTTCAGAGTAATTTTTATGTGAGTTTTTAGTCATACTGAAGTAAAATAATGCTGAAAGGGGTCAAGTAATTACAAGTGTTTTAACAAGAAACATTTTCCAAAAAAGTTAATATTTGTATAAATGTCACAAGATTAATTGAACATGGACCAATTCTTCATCCAAAAATTAAATGATGAATACCTTGAAAAGTATGAGATCACTTAAACAATATTTTTCCATATAGTAAGGCATGACATTTTTTTCATGCGCAATTATCTTTCATTTTCTGGACACCCTGAATATATATAGTGGGTTTTGATCTTGACTACTTATTTACTACTTTGAGAATAAAATATATTTTACCTTCTGGTCTAGCTTCTTCATGCATACAAGATCAATAGACTTCAAGCCATGTCCAGTTGGACAAATAAAATAAAGGCAAACATGGACTCTAGAATCATGATATGCAGAAAGTGATCTTTTGATTTTCAGTTCCTCTTGTAGATAATTTTCAAACTGAGCATCAATGTAATCAACAACTGCCTTGAAACTATCTTCCTTGTTGATTTGGTCTCCATACCCAACAGTGTCAACTATTGTTAACTGAAAATATATAATTACCTAAAATAAGTCTAGAAACATTTGCAGATTAGCTTTAATTCAGCAAGATCTCAGACACATCAGAATTGTTTCCTTCTGTAATGATTATGTAATTTCATTTTTCTGGTCAAACATGGTTACTATGGTGTAACAAAGTAGATCAGACTAACCAATATACCTTGTGAATCACTTACGGTTGAGGTCTGCCGAGTTTCAATTTCTATGAGAGAGAAGCATGCATATACAATGTGTTTGGTCACAATATACCGATATTTAAGAGGGGTATTTTTCAGCTATTTTTATCGAAAAAATCCACCTCCCTACAATGTCCTACCTCATCCCTCTTGAAATGGCAGCCATTTTTATTTTTACGTTACGATTACGGTAGTGCACGTTTAAAAAGTCTAATAACTGAGTATGTAAGTGTCACAGAATGATAAATTTGGTGTGATTTGAATGATGACATGTTGTCCTAGCGATTATTGAAAAACTAGTTTTGATACTAACGGTCAAACATACTTAAAAACAGACAAAAACAGAAAAATATGGAAGAAAATTGATTATTTTGTGCATTTCCGTACACCATTCAAAAACTAGTCTGTGAAGTTGTACTTTTTTGTGCTATTTCTACAGCTTTTTGTTATCCTAAGTATTCTACGTTAAGCAATAAATCTAACATGGGTCAACAAGGGTGTAATAAAATGCAAAATGTTTTCAAACTCTCTAAACATAAAAATGACAAATCAATGTTTCTGATAGAGAGCTTGGACATGTTTAATATTAGAAGCTTTTCAAAATGTCCTCCATTATTGGATATGCACATTGTTGTTCTTGAAAAAATGTGTCGTGTTGAACGGCAGACCATATCCGTGTCAGCCCTAATTTTATTCGCAGCAGTATGGATCCATTTCAAGGATGGTGAGGTAGGACATTGTAGGGGGTGGATTTGTCAATAAAAATAGCTGAAAAATATCCCCTTCAAATATTGGTATGTCGTGACCAAACACATTATTTATTAGAAGGAGTTAGAAAGAGCACTTCATGACATTCTTCACTGTCTTTGGCAGACAATGTAGTAATTACTTCTGGGCACACCATAAATCATTTGCATGGTATACATGAATATACACATCATCGTCATTCAATGTGATGAACAACATGAGAATAGAAAACTTAATCTTGTATCTTGTTAAATATACTTTTTGATTTGGATATTCTTTGGTAGATTTAATTTTACATTATCATACACAAATTGAAAAGTTGCAAACTATTAATATCTAAAAAGTTAAAACAAATAATTAGATATTTGTCAACAAACGGTTGTGTCAATAATACTAATTTAAAAATAGGAATTAAATTTGCAAAAATACTGTAGGAGTGAAACACACCTTTAACCTCACATTGCTTTCCTGCAATTCATAGGTATGTGCTTTTAGTTTAACTGTAGGTAATGTATGGGGACTGGGTGATGATTCAAAGTTTGTATTGAACAGTGAATCCATCAGTGTTGATTTTCCCAAGCCAGTTTCTCCTGCAATGAAATGAGTTATGTTAACCTTATGTTGGCTCATAATACAAGATTAAAGCCCAGTTTAAGTCATATTATTTCTACACTGATAATATTTATAATGACAGGTAACATTTTACAAGTGTATCAGGTAAAATATAATTTTTTGGCAAAAATGGCTTTCTTACAATGAGTACAAATAATATGAAGTTTATTTTCTAAAATAATAAATTTCAAAATGTCACATATTCAGTTAAATTACTAATTCTATAAATGCATTAAGAATATTACTCATAATAATGAAGAACCATTTTTTTAATATTGATAAGATCCCAGAACTATCTAAGAAAAATGAAATCTAAAAATTAATCAGATTTGGCATTAACATTAACTAAGTACAATATGTTTATTGCACATCAACACATAGATGTGAATACAATTTGATATTTGGAGAAGGCTTATTTATTTTCTTCTTTGTGCATTTCTATGCCATTTCAAGCTGATTCTTATGACCTTTGGGTGTTCAGGTTGCTGTTAGGTACTATCAAATGGATTTGGATGAAACATTTCACTTGCTCAAGATGGTAGTTGCTCAGATTTTAGGCTACTTCCTTGGTTACTGTTTATGGCAAAACTGTGTAAGTGGTACAATAAAGAACAGTTATAGCAAATCAGAAACAGACTTACCTATACACATAATGTTAAATATAAAACCATTTGCACACTTTTTGATACCAACTGGTCAGGCAAGCTATCAAAGCCTACGTGACCTGATAATGTTAAGTTCCTCATTTGTGCCTCCACCTGATAAATAAGAGTTATGTTTCATAAAGCTATTGATAAACGGCAAATACCTATGAGAAATAGGTCATAACAATAGAGAAGGCAACGCCCTAACGTTTTCCCATCCTATTTCCATAATATTGTTATATATTAAACAATGGGGATTATACTTACGGAGGCACTATCAACATCTACAGGAGGCATTTTCAACACTACCACCAAGAACTAAAACAACTCGGACGAACTGAGTAGATTTGGCTTCAAATAATGATTTTCAGCAGCATCAACACGAACGATCAACAAATAGTGGCAGTATGACAGTGACAGTACTACAATCTGTGACAGTACAGTAGGCGTATTCTTGAATTCACCGGTTGAGCCACCGGTTCAACCGGATAACCAATTTCAGGTCCTTTAATTTCCGCTGGAACGACCGGTTGTACACCAAACTTGTCTTTATATTGATGGTGGATACGCCACCGGTACCAGCAGCCAGCAGCATCCACCGACGTTCGGAAACGGTTGATCCAGAACAGACAAATATTCTAACCTCTACGTTTAATCATTCCTGTCAACTTCAGCTTTGTGTCTAAAAAACATTGAAATGGTAGCAGAAAACTTTGAAGTTGTGTTGCAGCATAGGAGTGGCGTTAAATTTAATGTATTTGCAACACCATCAGAGATATGCAGCTCATCTGAGGGCAAGTGGTTTTTTTTATTTAATTATGTATTTAAAAATTTTTTGGTTTCCCGATTTATAGTTGTCTTAGGCCCGTATCGTCAGTCGTCCTTACCATTGTAGGGCGCGTTTATGGCCTCCTTGATTGTCATACTTCTTTCTCTCCTTCAAAAATTTCTAGATTACACTTGTCCCGTGTCAGCGTCAGCGCTCTCCTATTGTGAGGATATGTTTTCTTTTAAATTATAGGAAATTTCAGGCTGATAAAACGTGATATAACTCGAAAGCAAGCACAACTTGATGCAAATAGTTGTTTGTGACATAACCTCAAAATAGAGTTCTGACACGGAGAAGTAGAAAACTATGTGTAGGGACGACTGACGATACGGGCCTTATTGACACTTCTGAGAAAGTTGTTCTGATAAATCAATTTGAAAAAGTCATTTCTACATGTTCCAGGGCAAGCATCCTTGGAAGTAATGGATAAGGTATTGGGAAATAAAGCCTATGGTGGGCTTCCACCACAGACCCTAAGCCCATTCATTAAAGAAACTAGAACATTAGAAGATATAGACTCGGCAGAAGAGAATATTTCGGGTTCCATACAAAAGTCAAAACAGTGTCACATTGTTGGAATGATAAAATGGTATTCGAGAAAAAAAAGTTTTGTAAAAAATGGAAGAAAGAGTTGGATGATAGGGAAGTTTTTAAAAGAGAAAAAAATTGATGCTATAAACAATTTAGCAGATGTCATCAGAAGCTCTTCTCATTCAGTGTGAGGTTGATGCATTATATACAATGACACAGGAAGCGTTTCTGTTGAATAGCTGTTGATATTTCCATGTTGAGTTAAATACTTTTTAGTTTCTTGTAGTTTTTGTTTTGTGATATTATATAATGTGGTTGAAATTAAGTTTGGATGTAATATAGATATAAATCAAATTCATGTGGATAACCAAATGGAAATGGTATTTACCATTTTGGGTTAGTATTTACCGATCCGTTCAAGCGAGTGTAGTTATCAGTTTGGTTATAAGATCCGTGACGTCACGAATCAGCTGTTATACGTCATAGTTATCACCCGCAAAATTGTGGTATTTACCCAACTCAAGAGTAGTTTTATATTTCTGGTTATTGTTTGAAATGTGACAAGTTAGAATTTTGCCGGGTATTGGATATTGTTATTGTACTTCAGCTTCATTTTTGAGAAAATTGATAGAGGCTGACTTCAGTTTACCATAAAGTGGAGCTCCTTATTAGTTATACTCATTACGGTTGTTGGGGACACTTTAAATGTAGTTTCCTATGCTTTACAAAGTATCCTGTGTAGCCATATACCACAAGAATATTAAAAATATAGCCATATAAACTCACTAGATGATATCCACCTGTAATACGGTTTTGCTAATTTCTTTTTTCATCATTTCTGCTGAATCAATAAATGTTTTCTTTGACATGCGGAAAAATTTAGAGAATTGAAGTTATCATAGCTACAAAGCCATGGTTCCATCATTAAAAAAAAAAATCTGAAAAAAACATTTCTCCCATGAATATTATGAATTATTTATTTAAACTTTCCATACACAGTTGTAGACGAAAAAGCATCGATTATTAAGTTATAATAAAATAACCGAGATTATATACGCGCTTTTCTAAAATAAACAACTAGCAACAAAACCGCGGTTAAAACCAACGCGTTCAAGCGATTCGTGTAACTGACGTCATCAACCCGTGTGTCATCTTCAACCATATTATAACCGCGGCACATAACACAGAAATTTTGGTTATTCGCTTGGATTTGATTATATTGTGAATGTTTATCATCTTTTTTTTCAGTTACGAAGACTAATGCATTAAATTTGTAGTAAAGTTATACCTTAAGGTATATAGATGCTTATGTGTGTTGAATATCTTGTTTATATAGGAATATATGTGTGGCAACAAATAACTCCAACAACACATGATCATTTTACAAAAATACAATATACAAAATAAGCGGTTCGGAGCTAAAATTAACAAATATCCAAGAACGATAAACAGAGGTTATGTTTTCTCATTTGACAGGAACCTGAAGGCTAAATGCGTCTTTCTGTTGACCACCATTCAATGGAACTGGTTGCTGACGTCATCACATCAGCTGCCAACCGTAAGTTTTCCGGATCCAGCATTGACGGAATCAACCGATGAATTACAGTGTACGCCTAGTATCTGTGGTACGGTAACACAGACAGTAACTTGACTTTTGACAGATCAGTGACGCTAACTATATGTCCCATGCATTGGCATTGAGGAGATGATGCTACATTCTAATTGTGATTCTAATTCTACATTGGCCATTGCTTCAGGGTCGGGCTGGCCGCTAGACCTGTACCTGTAGTACAATCGAATTGCTAGGACCATGGCCATCCCAGATCCGATGTTCTACTCCCAACAGCTTGATAAAACCTATTTTGTTCTCAGTATTAGCCTCAAATCAAGTTAGAAAATTGTTGAAATCAGTATTTTATTCTTATAATTACATGTTGACCTTGCTTAAAAAAGTTTTCATTTTAACTGGACCATATGTTTTGTGCTTTGCTTTTCTTCTATCCACTTTTAACAATACGCTCCATTAGTCTGACGTCACTAAGTGAGGTAGGTCAGGTCGTCAGGTGTCAGGGTTACCAGATTGGGGGATTTTCCCCCAAATTTGGGGTATTTTTCATTGCTTGGGGGAATTTTTGGGGTATACAATGCGTGGGGGATTTTTGGGGGAAAATTATTCCGTTTTGGGGTTTTTTTGGGGTGCGATTTTAAGAAGACATTCTGTCGTCCGACCAATTTTCAAGTTTCAATTGAATTATTGGAATTCGAGAACAACTTTGAATAAATATAAATTCATTTACAGATAATCCTGCCATCTTTCAACAACTATTAAAATTATTCTGAAGCACCTACATTACAGTTTCCTTCAATAGCGGCAAAATATTATTTTGTTTTCGTGCGTTAGATGGCGTGATTAAATAAGTGTTTCTCATCTATGTGAAACCCAGAGAATCGTGTAACTTTATTTCCTTTCCTATCATTAACTTTATAGGCTATATTTCTTTTACTTTGGAGTGTTCAATACGCATGGTTTATCCAAATTAGTGTTGTACATGTCAATCTAAATATGCCTAAAGAAAGGAGTCGTTATATACCCGAAAATACCGAGTTGCTTGGGAATCCGATGCTGAACTTAAAGGTAATCTATTGAAATTTTGATGGTGTGGGTTATTAATTATAATTATTCATTCCATATAGGATGGATTGGTCCTGTATTAGCAGATGAGACAAAGTCGCTTTGTAAGATATGTAAATGTACTTTAGCTGCACATAAAAAAGACTTACTGCTTCACGGTAAAAGTAAAACATCAAGAGGCGGAGAAAAGATCTTTGGCTGGCCCGAGTAAAAAAATTACTGAGTTTATGAAAAAAGGTTTGACCGCCAGCAGGAAAATAGGAGAATTAAAAATTGCTGCATTCATATGTGAGCACTGCTCACTTGCAACAATTGATCATCTTGGATCACTTTTAAAAAATTTAGATAAATCATCTGAAATATTAAATGACGTTAAATTACACAGAACTAAATGTACATCTTTAATATTGAATGTGTTGGCTACTTCAATACTAAATGACTTACTTTTGGATGTTGCAGATAGTAAATATTCATTGATTATAGATGAGAGCACTGCAGTCGATTCCACAAAAATGCTATGCGTTATGATAAAATATTTGAGTAAAAAGCAAACTAAGATTGTTACGACTTTCTACAAACTTATCGAAATTGAAAAGGGAGATGCCATAACTATCTCGGCTGCGGTGACAAAACAACTGGAGCTAGACGGTTTAAAATTAGGGAATCTAATAGGAATCGGTGTTGATGGAGCCAATGTTATGGTTGGAGCGCATAATTCAGTAGCTTCTTTTTTGAAAGCAAAGAATAATGAACTTGTTATTATTAAGTGCGTCTGTCATTCTCTGCATTTGGCAGCAGAGTATGCATTTAAACTTCTACCTATTTTTTTTTTTTGGCTTTAGGACCTAATCCATGCAGCCAGAAACTAGGTTGTTATATTTCACATTTCTAGACAAACACACGACGTCACAACATCCATGGCCAAGGCGAGATTCGAACTCGCGGCCCGGCCGACCGGCTGATCAGTAGCACGACACTCTGACCCACGCGGCCAACCGAGGTCCCCATTTGGACTTTATAATCAAGGAATGCCACAATTGATTCTCTTGTAGTACAAAAAGGCAAATAGCATACAAACAAATATTTGAAACACTGACGGATCAAAAACCACTAAAAATTGACCAACTATCAGGAACCAGATGGCTAGCCAGATACAATGCGATAGTTAAAATTCTAGAACAATGGGATGCATTAAAAATACACTTTGGTATAGTAAAAGATAATGAAAGGTGTTATATGGCTGAACAGCTGTTTCAAATGTTATCGGACCAAACTAATGTATTATATTTCACCTTTTTGAGTTGGACATTGAAAGAAATAATTAGAGTTAATAAACTGTTTCAGTCAGAGTGTGCAGATCCACTGAAATTAATGGAAGATTTGAATTTATTACTTTTCAATAACCTAAGTATTTTAGTACCACCTATGAGACTTCAAAAAATTTCAAAAAATAACGTCGTTGATTTCAAATTTGAAGATTACATTATGGATATAGAATTGATAATTTAGGATATTCGTTCAATTCAAAAGCGTCAATTTAAACAAGATGAACTACT